AAATATTAGAGCCCTGCATTATATTTAAAGAAATTAAAAAATGAAGAATTTGCATGAATGTATGTATGTTTCGCACTGTGAGAAAACAACTTAGAGACATAAAATTTTGAATAACTTAGTACTCCCTTCAAATATGGGCATCTGGTAGTCCAGAGTTGGAATTTGTGTTATTGTCTATTTCATATTTTGTAAAACTTCAAAACGAATTTTTGATTAACTAACTCAACGATTTCAAAGCGAGCAATGGCAATACACTATATGGAAAAAAAAAAAAAATTATCTTCAGCGCGAGATTGTGTATCGGAAATTCTAAATGTTTGCTCTTTTAAAATGCTCTATGCTCTTTTAAAATTAGTTTGTGATATTGCTGTAAATTTATGGTTTAAGCGCGAAGAACATGATATTTGATAAATAAAGGTAACACACGATATGTTAAAAAAACGCCCCTTCTTTAAAAAATTTCTAGACCTACAATGCAATGCACGAAATAAAAATTACAAATAAAGAACTGGCCAAGCATTTGATTAAACAAAATTACACACTAAAATTAGCTCATAAATTTCATCAGATAAATAAATCAATAAATAAAGACAACACATTAACTATAAAAATACAGGAAAAAATGCAATTAAATAAGCAAAAATATTTAAATACACTTACAATATTTTAAAAATGAAATCAAAATGTAAAAGCAGATCATCTAACATTAAAGAAGATATGACTTATCTGCTTTAATAAAAGTGTACAATAAAAGTGTGAAATAAAATTAAAATACAAACGTACAATAAAAGAGAGTACAATAAACGTGTGAAATAAAATTAAAATACAAACAAACTGTGGTATAAAAATAAAGAGTAGCTGAAAATCTTTAGAGGACTGACATTACAACTGTTAAACGAAGACCTTTATTGGGGACATATGAATGATCTGTCAGCCGAAATGGATTATTTTTGAAAGTTTCCTATTAAAATATAAAAATGAAACTAACAATCTTGTTATTAACTGCAAGTACAAAATCTTATTGTTCATTTGCAAGAAATGTCTTTAAGACACTGAATTCTAATTTTCCAGTGAAAACTTCATTTTATGCTAAAAAGCAATACAATTATTTTCTGGGTTCTTTTCAACTCGAAGTTTTCTCGTTACCATTCCAATTTTAACGAGTTAATAAACTTATGGTGAAATTTAAACTTGAAAAGACAGTTTCGGCTTAATATTGAGGACCAGCTGCTATGCTTAATATTGAAGACCTGATGGTGATTTTTATCTCTTTCACTATGCCTTCATTGTTACATATACAACACCAGTGTTTATAAATTGTTGATTAAAAATACCATCTCTAGTTACCTTAAAACATAAACATTCCTTGTTTAGCGAGAAGAGAAACAATTAGGATGGAAAGAATTATAGGTGTAAACCATTTTGCATTGTGTATTATATGGCATACAGAAATTCATTCTCAATTTTATATTATAAAAATTGTAGGGCAAAGATGATTGAACACACTGATTTTCGCTCTACAATATTTAATATGCTCTAGGTTTAGAATGTACGCTTTCCGAATATTTATGAAATAAACTCGATTAGTTATTGATTTTTAATACCCAGAGGGAGCAATTTTCTCTCAAGCAAGCAGATTTTTTATATCTCGAAAGCCAATATGCAACGTGAAAAGGAAATTTGAAGTTCCATTCGAATGAACGAAATTCTGTGCTTTATTTATATTTAAGAAAATATGAAGACAGGTAAAGGTTTCACACATATAAGGCACATATTTATGTGACCAGTGGGGAATAGTTCACTAAAAGTTCTTAAAACAAATTTTTCCATATTCAGGAGTAAGGTATCAGTAGTGGGCGCAGCCCAACCCACCTAACTAAACAAGTTGGTCTCATGGTCATAACAGGCCATGCTCATTCAGGTATTTTCTCCCTTCTTTCTGAATGTCTTCGTGGTGTAATGGTAGTACACTCGGTTCCAGGTTCGAATCCTGGCGAGAGGATTGCTCATTTTCTACTTCTAAAGCATCAAAAATCTAATGACTCTACACATCTTATACGCAGCAAGGAACAGAAATACGAGTTGCGGAAAACGTTTTACTACGAATGGAATCACAAAAAGAAATAAAGTTTTAAATGTTTTCAATAACTCATTCAATAAACGTTCATGCTTTTATATCGTCTAATAATAACTCCCAAGTGTTAATAATTTTATCATTTGAATAATGCAGTCATATTCAGTGAAAGTCTAATATATGTAATTTCAGTGATTGTAAACAATTTCAACAACTCCATTTTCAATAACTGTCTAGTTACATGCTTATAACACCAATTTTTCAATAATTCTAGGCATATGGAAGAAATACTGTTATGGATAATCTGATAACTGTTTTGTTTGAAACAAAAATTTACTTTTATTAATGCACGACTAAAACTGAATAATATTTCGACTAAAAATTATAATCAAACATCAAATTTTGTTCATAAATACATTGCTTATAATTACGACTTAAATAGTCCAAAAGAATATTACAATGCACATAAAATATAATTTAACACATTCAGTTGTCAAAACAATCAGAAAAGTAACTGAACGTAAACTATCATTCATTCTTCCAAAAATGCAGCAACCATTCATGCCGTACTTTTAATATTGCCTCAAGATTCATCTACGAGAATGAATGCAAAATACAGAAGACTTTTATCTGTATTCAAAATCACCACAAAATGAATTCCATATTTATCATCTTGGATACGAAAATGTGAAAACAATTGCAGCATAAATGATTAACATGAAATATTAGGGATTCGTTTTATTTGAAATACTTCAGAACTTTAATCTAGTAGTAGAATGGATCCGTATATATTTAGCCATTTTTCTACTACCGTCTGTTACTTTAGAATAGGCCATTTTCCTTACCCAGCTAGCCTCATAACTCGTGGACGACAGTTTGGAAGTGCTTATTTTAAAATAACAATAAACAATAAGTATATTTGCAAAGTAAAGGCTACAAAGGTAAGATTTTAATGCAAAACTGTTTCAATCTTCCTCTAATTTGACTCATTTCAGTATTCCTTTCCATCTGATTTTCTGTCATAGGCTTAGCTTTGCCAGGTTATAAGCACATGAAGTTAAATTTTATATCATTGCAAGTGATTAAAACAGGCTTATGCTTACAATTTATTTTGCATGTCATACTTACAAACAAAAGGAAGGTCTTTATTTCCTCTCACCTACTGACATATTTTTTTTCCAATGAAAATATACAGGAATCCGATACTACTTACCACAGATAGTTTTTAAAACTAATGTTTCTTGATCTAGTCAGAAACTAAACAGACAAGAAGCATTCTCTACCTTTAGAGGATGCTAAATGATCGCCGAGATCTAAACAAATCACATTAATCGTTTCCTTGTTTTTGATATCTTTCGTTGGAAAATTGATCCAAATTTTTAGTCATCGTTTTCTGCTTGGCTATGGATCACTATTTTTGGCCACGGGCGTAATAATCAATATTTAATCCTTCTTCCCTGCTCTCGTTAAATAACAAGGTATACAAAACAAGTTTAAGGCAAATCAAGTCTACAGCTTTGTTTTGTTTTCGCTCTAAAAGTCTACACTTCTCAAATGGGATTCAAATTCCTCTTATAAATTTGTCAAATCAGTTTACTTTTTCCGCGCTAATAACATTTTTCAAACCACGTTCAAGAACATTTTATTATAAAATTGGATTCAGATGTCCTTTCTTCAAACCAAAGCTCAACCTACCTTTTTCAAAACCTTGACGTTACCGTGATGACTATAGAAGAAGTTGTAGTGCTGAAAATTTGGAGTACTTGATCGAAAGGCTGTAGAATAAGGTACCGCATACGATACGTTAAAGAAAATGAAGTGGGAGAGTATCCAGAAGTTTCTCGTTGCAGGAATAAAAATCAAAAATTTTAATTTTCGAAGAACAAATCCATTGCTAATTCTAATTTGCCTCTAAGTTTTGATTCTTAGAAATCTCGAAAATTTCCTGCAGAAACTGTATTGTGAACGACAAAACTTCAATTTTGTTCCGGTAAGTAGAGAATCTCTTCCAAGATCCGCCTCTCTCCTTTCGACTAAATACTGTAATTCCACTTTCCACAGTTAAAACGTCTAGTGTCTCATCACAGTCTAGATTTAGATTTATTTCGGAGCAGGATAAGGCAGAAGTTAATAATGCTTTCCAGAAATTCATTTAAAAATTTTAGCTAAAAGTCGCGTAAGCCCAAATGTTCTCTAAATGTAATAAAAACACTCCCTTTTGGGAGTAATATAAAATCTGAAAGTTTTCAAATTTTAATATTTTCTGTTATTTTTAAGCTCCACTCGAATTGATTGTGGATTCTGAATTTAATATTCGTACTAAACATGGACAAAATTAGGGAAATGTAGACGTCGTCAATTGACGGTTCAAGTAGTACTTAATAATATCGCAGCAAATCTAGAGTTGACTGTGTTTTCGGTGGCATTCCAAACGCTATCATTTTTAAATATTTACATTTTCATATCACTTATAATAACGACTCAGTAGGCTCGCTAATACTGAAAATATTTTTAGCAATTGTAAGAATATTAAAACAGTATCACACAATCATACGCCTTTTTCTCTGTACAATTCGCTTAGTATATTTCTTTTGGTTTTGATATGATACATCTGTTTTGATAACAGCAGCATTTTAAAATATACGCGCATTACATTATTGTGCTACGTAATATTCAAATTCAGAGATTAAGAATAACAATCTGTTCTGCAACTGATAAAACGCACTGGTTTCCATTAATTTTCTGGAATTCAGAATATATAATTTTTTGTATTAACTTTTCATAATGAAAACCTGAGAAAACACAAAGCAATCAACTGAATATTTATCCGACTTCCACCTGTCAGCAATCAAACCTTACGCATATCATCTCCTTTGCGTCATTTAAGCAACAATCTGCCCCCCCCAGGGATATAAATATCGCAGTAGTTCCGCAACAGCTTCATACCTGAAGAACATTCTCCAATTCTATCTTCCATAGAGAGAGAGGGAGTATCGTAGAAGCCTCATCATGCAAGTATATGAAATTGTAGCATTAGCTTTCGCCATCATTATGGCCGCGGCAATGGACGGTAAATATAATCTTTGATATTTTTAACAGCAGTTATTTTTAATTTCTTTGTTAATGTTTAGTTAGAAATGCATCAGATAACAAAAGCATATTTCATTGTATGTTTTGGAGTGAAAGTGTATTTCTAAGTAATAAGACTTGTAACCCATTTTATTTCTTTTGCGGGAAGATTTGTAACCAAACAAGTGTATATCAAAGCCAGTTTGAAATGAAGGACTATGTCATATGTCATTACGTAATGAAATCCGTACTGAATAATGAACTTAAAATTTAAGTTCATGTGGAAATATATTAGCGCTGAAAAAGAAAGCCTTGATATGCAATTTTCGCTTGACGTCTTTCCGAACACAAGGAATAAATCAAATCGACTTGAATATTTTCCTTTCTTTCGAGAGCAATTGATAGGGGGAAATGTCTAGAGATAGACTGAATATTTACTTTTTATATTAGCAAAGTCCCTGAGTTTGAATGTAACAAATGTTTTTAAAAAATTCGTCATTTAGCTTATTTATTCATAATATCTCACGGTCATTTTCATATCTTAATGAGATGTAAGAGAGAAATTTGCTTATGAAAGTATGCGAATCTGAAATAATGATAAAAAAATGGCATGGAATTTTATAATTTGCTTTATTAACAACCAACTACATAAAATTAGCTGTGATTTGTTATTTTTCTCATTAAAAAAATACGAATTTTATATTAAGGAAAGAAATGTTCTTAAAATCAAAATGTATTGTATTCAATTAAAATGTAGAGAATATCAAAGTTCATTGCCATTTTATTCCGAAAACGGTTAGGAAATCGTTTCTTTAGAAGGTAGTTTTAGTTATAAATTCCAGAAGTGTAGTTTATTAGAAAGCTCAATCAATGATGTAGTAATGAAACTTTGCGTTACTAAATGCATAGAAATTATTGGATGAGTCTTTTTAATATTCAGAATAATGGAAAAGGATATAGCATGTTTAATTACAGTGGCATAAGTTCAGCATTATTTTTGAGGCTTTTAAAAGGCTATCGTGAAAGCTTACACTGCAAGAAATTTATTGGTAAAGTTATGAGCAGATATTTCTGCATTAAAGCTGATTTCTTGGTTGAAGTCATTCCAAAAGAAATCGGCTTATAATTAAATAAGATACGCGGAAAACACAGATTACTGTTTTCAATCAGCCAACTATTTTTTAGATTTAAGCAAAAGACCTCTAAACAGAAACCTGCAAGTGATATATATTTTATTTTCAGAGTCTGAATGATATCGAAATATAGCAGTGCAAATTGTTAATAGCATACGAGATAACAAATTAAAAGTAAACTATTACTCTTGCCTCAATTTGTCTAAATTAAGAAACAGATTAATGTTGTTCTACTAACGTTTTACATGAATTCAGAGACAAATGTGAAAGTTTAGTCGTAATTTTTAGAGAGTTTTGTTCCAATTCGATTGAAAAAATTTTAAATTCCAAAATTTATACCTTTTTTTTTTCAATAACTAAAGAACGATCAGAGAATTAGAAAATCATGGTGCATCCCTCTTTGTAGCTTTCCGGTATCTATTGTTATTGCCAAACATTGAGGACTGGCCTTTTAAATATTCAGGTTTAATACAGCGATTAAAATCTTCGACTGATAAGGAAATTTTTCTTGCATAAATACATTATTAAAAGTTTTTATTTCCAACTGCTGAGATTTCATCAGCATTCGTACAAATATGATTAAAGAACACATTTTCAATGAATACAGTTTATGGGTAAAAATCATAACACGTTAAGAATATATCTTAGTTTAATAGTGAATGAAAAAGGAATTGAAATTCGATTATTATCCAAAAATTCCCTTTTAAGAAAGTCATTCTAAAAATTTGAGATAGAGCTAAATGGCACAAGTTAAACTTAAAAACGTTTTGAAGTGGTCATAGTAGCTTCCTTCAACGTCAGTTCCCATTTTTAGGCAAATTTTCCTAAGATTAAATGCTTTAGGACATCAGTTTCTTGGAACTGATGAAGGATATATGCTATTATAGCTAATCGGTCTAATCTTCGTAATGTAAACGAGGAGTCGCGTAAATTTTTATTTACGTTAATAAACAGCCAAACGTCACGCATAGTAAGATCAGTAGAATACGGTGGATGTTTTCTAACATAATGTGTTTTTGGTCAAGAAATTAAATTATCACTCTTGTTGAATGAGTAGACGCAGTATGATGGTAAAACATTTTACCCTTAATTTTCACTTCTTAATGAATTTCTTGAAGATACATAGTGCGAAACAATTAGGTGTTACTGTCTTCTTTGCCTCTAAATTGACCGCTTTTGACTAGTCCAGTACTTCTGAACAAAACGCTACGTCTTTTCACTTCTCGTTGTTCTTTCATCATTGTTAATTCGGGGTCAACATCTAGGACTGTACTTTACTTTCTTGACTTGTTGAAATGTTCATAAGCGGATGTACGTTTAATTACCAATTATGATTTTAGAAATAATACGTTGTCCAATCATTAAATGGGCTTAGGATTTCTTTAATGTTTCTGACATACTTCGCATTCTTCGTTTATGGCAGTCCAGATGAGAAACAAACTTTTGATTATGCAGTTCACGAATAATTTCATATAAATCTGCGAATACAGTATAAAGCTCCTTTTGTATCATATCGTCTGTATCATTTTCAGGGTACAGTTATATCATCTGGTAGGTGCATTGATTAACATTTCTCGCATGGTTAACACATTTTCTTAGTTTGCAGCTGACAAAGATATTCCTGCGTGTTCTCCAACTAGGAGAGAATTTTCACCTCTACGAAATACAGTAAATCATTGATTACACTTCACGAGATGGAGTTTAATTTACATGTTAACTCTGGAAGTCGAAAGCATACAATAAATTTATCCACGCGCAGCTTTAAAATTATAGAAAATCATAGTGCGGTAATGCTCTTTCATGAGCTTTACTTTTCCTTCTTGTAAAATGTTTTCTACGATAGTTAAACTGTAATTATTGCCACAAATTATCGTCTAAGGATCAAAAAGAGAATAAATTCTAAGAAAACACATATCTAAGAAAACATTTCTTTTACTGCATATTCTCTGCCCTTTGTTTGAAAATTTTAGAGTTACTCAAGTATTTGGTTTATTTCTGACACATGTATTTAATTTAATTTTATATTAGTACATTTAGCATTAGTAGTATATGACATACAGCCACAGATGAATTTAAGAAAACCAATTTAAACGCATTTTTGCTAAACATACCTCATAAAATTAAAAAGCCTTTTCTAAAACCATGTATAATCACGTGGCCTTATGTCATATACTAATGCTAAATTCACGAATATAAAATAAAAATTATTGAACAAATGCGTCGGTTTGGGTAACTCTACATGTTTTTTAGGCAAGGGCGGCGCATATGCAGTGAAAGAAGTTTTTTTTTTTTAATGTATAAAATTAATCTCTCTTCTGTCCTCATACTATTCTATTTCAGATAAATTCAGCAAGTCTCTGAAAAGCTTTATAGGACTATTTAAGGAAATAGTTTGAGTTGTACCTTTAAATTTACTGTACCGGAATTCACTGAAATTGATCAAAATCTCATTCCCACTGCAACTGATCAAAATCGATCTCTGCCAGTAATTAAAATCGCAGCCTTAGGCTTGGATTGAATCACAAAAGTCAAGTAGAAAAATAAATGCTAATGCCGCCCGACTGGTTATAGTGGCTAGTAACTCTGGCTGCCTTACCGAAAGGCCCGGATCTAAATCTCGGAGAAGGCATGGATTTTTGTCAATGTAGAGTATCTCTGTGGCGTTAGGTACTCAAAATATGCGGTGAACCGAAACGTCCTCTCGACAGGTTGATGGCAAGGGAAGAGAGCTGGGGGACCCTCGAACACTCTCTCCTTCAAAACTGAGAGCGGAATTGAGCTAAATCGTAATGTCACTTGTATGGGGGTCCAACGACAGGCACAATCTTGCCTCCTTGCCAAGATGAAATTCCTGGGCTTGTTCTGATATCAGACAAGCAAGATTAGCCACAACACAACAAACGACAACAACAACAACACAGAAAGGGAGTATAAATAAAAAAAAAGTAATATGTGAATTCAATTGAGGTCGAAATCAGAAGCTACAGTGACAGCAGATCTGCTCAATGTAGTCCTAAGAATTCGGTAATCGTCTAAGTGTAATACACTGCTTCGACATCATCGTGGCATGGTATCTTTAACATTATTCCGTTTCATCTACGTAGGTTTGCCATAAATAGAGCAAACTTATGCGTGCTCGATTAGAGAAAACTCTAGATGTCTGGTACAACAGAGGATGCTTGTAGGATTATAAACCCATTGTTTGAAAACTGTAACGAAGTTTTCAAACGTCGCTATGCTGTCTAGAGATGGGTCTTGACGGAGGCGAAAGCACTAGCGAAACAAAAGTTGCCAGGATACACTACGGTGGTATATTAAGAAGGATCACTAAAGGTGCCAGGCAGTCACACAGGAATGGCTCCTTAAGTGGTATAGCTCGGTATGATTGACGTATTCCATTTTACACTGAGACTGAGAATCTTTGATAAGACGTTCTATTACTCGAATTCTCGGGTTTTCTAACAGAGAGGAAACTAGCATTCATCTCAAAATTCTATGACTCCAATCTAGTTAATTTCAAGTTTCCTGGCTGAGACATCAGAATACTCTTTGTTGTCTATGTCAATGGAGGGGAACGTCTGTAGCTCAGCTCCTACCACGATTCTTGCAACAGGGTTTCGTAACATTATAAATCCAAGAACAGTGAGTAAATATTTCTAATTAAGATGTAAGAGCTTTTTTACAAGATCTTACGAATTTATAGTTACTCTACATCAGGCATATTGATTACAAATATACGAAACATACTAAATATTCTAGAAGGATAAAAGGAGGATAATAAAGTGCGCAACAAAATTCTGATTTATTGCTTTCTTTGCAAACATACTAAATTTACCAGTAATTTTTCATCCCCTCACAATTTCAATCAAATATAAATTGAGAAATAAAATAGTGTGTGTTTTTTTTTCAAATCTAAATATTATTTGAAAATACTAGCTCAATTCATGTTTAAAATGTTTTTAAAATTGTTTCATTTTAGTGAACTGAATGACTGAAATTTTATATTCGCTTTATTTCACAGGCGCCGGCATGCCAGGTGTGCCTAAATTACCAGGTGGATAAAGAAAAGCAGAAGAAGCATTCGGGAGAATTCAATTTCTTGGAATCTCACCCAATGGAGTACTCTTTTCAGCAAAAGAGATCTTAAATGGAAATTGTTTCATAAAATTTTTCTGATTTAATTAAAGCGATAATTGTTTCAGACACTGTGGATTTTTATATTTTCTGACTTAAAAAATCTTTGACATTTTTTATTCGATAAGCTCAATTTTTATGCCTTCTACATATTTTAAATTTGAAAATAAAAAGCTGTATATTTTAAACATAAAAGACTGGTAAGCATACTAATTATAGGATATTTGGAAATAATAATTTATAAAGAAGGAATAAAGAAGAAAGAGGCTTTACAAACATATCTCAAAATTTGCTTTTTGGTTCGGTTTTACAATATATTTGCATTAAGTGAAATTAAAAATTGCGCTACCGATTGTCAGACATATTTGTTTTAATTATAATATTGAAAGACTTAATTGCCTGCTAAACTTTTGAAGTCATTATTACGGGTTAATATACGAGAATGAAAGAATTTAGATATCACATCATTAACGGAGAGTTTAATGGATTAAAAGTAAGGACAGACTAAGGAAGTGTAAATGATTTAACAAGAATTTTAAGAAATTATTTTTCCTGAAAACATATTTTCAGGCACAGTCTTCGAGAAAAGAATAAGACTTTCATTTTCGATGAATTTGAAATTTCGCAATTATCTAAATTTATATGAAAAAAAACCTTTTCACAAAATTAAATTTCTATAGGTTGATTTTAACCAAAGTTAAGTTTTTAGATCAATAAACTAGTTATATATGCAGTTTATATCTACTTATCTCTATATTCATATAAGATTTTAGTAAAAAAAATGTTAGGAAATAAAATTGTTGAAAGCAAATTAAACTTCACAAAACAATGAAAAGGTTAATTATATATTGTCAAAAGAGAGAATGCAAATTGAAAATGTAGGCATAAATAAGCGTAAATTTGAGTGCATTAATTGCGGAGAGACAAATAATTCTGATGTTTTGTTGTACAGAAAATGAAAGATTACTTAAAAATATGGAAAAATTAAATACATAAGAAAAGCTACAAGATCACAAAAATGATTTGGAGCAGTAAGACAGCCATTAGCAATTACTGCTGCTAGTTGCTCCTCTTTACACATTTCTGGACTCAGATATACTGTATCCTTATTTACTATATATGCATAGCTCACCAAATCCACCAGTTAGTTTCACGAACTTGGAGTAAGTTTCGCATGTTTTATATATATCTTTAAGTATATCATATATTACTATTAACATAAAAAATAGTGTTCAGTTATATCTATAACGCTCACTCTTATATAGTTATATCTATAACTGCACATTCAAGATCAAATTAAGGCAACTTTAAACCCCACAAAAGTAAGTACCGTAATTTCCGGAAGAAACGCCGCGGCGTTTACGTGTTTAAAACTTAAATTTTCAGCGGGTGCGGCGTTTCTACCCATGCGGCGTTTAGGTGCACTAAAAATAAAATATTTCCTATGATGGTCATTTACATTGTTTGGATGGCCTTGTCATTGTGCATAGACGGTGCTGTCTCACACAAAACACCACTCAGTTGCTTTTGCGAACGTTTTTTGTTTACATTCTTTCCCTTGAACGGACCTACATGCCTTATTCACCCTAAACGAGATCTCAGAACAATAACATTCTTCCCCTTTCAAACAACATTCTCATCAGTTTGAATAGTCTCCTTCTTCTGCCATTCCATAATTTCCAGGATCCATCTCTCCCACCCCTGCCTTTTCTGCAATTTTTTTTCAAAGGCGACACGACTCACCTGCCTCGCAATAACGAACTCTGACGTATTTCCCTTCAGCATGAATGGATTTTTTGGCATTCTCGCCAAATACAGATCCAATCAGTTTAGTAAACGTACGTTGGATAGTTTTTAATTAGGGAGCGGATAATTTTTGAAAATGTCTCTAAACGGCACAAAAGTATACATTTCTTACCTTTAATTTATTTTTCAGTTATGGTTTCATTTCATGCATTTTCAACGGCATGTCAATATCAGACTTAGGTTAGTTTTTGCATCTATATGCCCACGACGATGTCAAGCGCAATTTAATCTATGCGGCGTTTACGCTGATGCGGCGTTTCTGTGTAATTTAAATTTTTTTCCGCCATTTTTCTCGAGTGCGGCGTTTACGCTGATGCGGCCTTTCTTCCGGAAATTACGGTATTTATTTAGCATAAATTTAGATCACTTGAGTGAACAGGGTATAAACTATGCGCTTGAACAAAGAAACTCAACTTTGATGTTAAATGCTTTATCACTTTCATGTGAAAGAAAATCAAGTTTAATATCTATGTGTATGACGCACTAGCGCCTGAGAAATAAAATCCGCTGCACGCTGGCATTCCGTCCCGGCAAACGTTTCATGGCTTTCGCCTATGTGTAACGGAGATATGAGTCAGTTTCCCTTAAAAAGTCCTTCTTGGGGGTTCCTTTCCGTGAATGACCAAATGGCGGAGCACGTAATAAATGAAAAAAAAGGCCTACTTGTTCCAACCGACCAGAATTATTCTCGTTAAGAATGCTCCTGATATCGATTGTTCTCAAATCCCGTAATACTGTTAATGTCAATAATTTCACTGATTTAAACCACAATAAATCTGGAGTAGCTTTCGCTAAGGTAAATAACCTCAGCTTTGGTTCAGGATAAAGCTACACAATTTTCTTTTCTACAACACCGGAGTATAAGAGACTCATTTCACACGAGTCCTAGCCAGAAATCGATCATCTGTCCCGCAGTCTGCGTACATAGACAAATGAGAAATCTTATTACCCTTTGAATACACAAATTGAACTTTAGCTGCTCCTTTAAGATAGGGAAAATTTCGCGTAAGAGCTTATCTTGCGATTTCATCGGGATTTTCTTGCAACTAAATGCATGTAAAATATACCGTGTAGTCAGGTAACGTACATACAGTAATGAACTATCTGCTTCACGATAAGGTCTTTTACAAGCAGAAGCTCTTCCGAAACCAGCTGGCATAGGTTTAATCTCCAGTGGAGTAGAACATGCTTTACAATCCAACATGTGGAAATTTTTCAGCAATATAAGATTCTTGATCTGAGAATAAATTAGTTTGTGTAAACTGTATTCTCATTCCTAGGAATACGGAAACTCTTCCGAATTTAGACACCCTAAATTCTTTAATCAAGAGCTCAATAGTTTAACTAAGTTATTGATTATTTAGTCCAGCAGTTAGTAGAACATCAACATAAAGAGAATAGCTATCTTTGAAGCATTCCTTTAGCGAGTAAAAATAAAAGGTTCGGAGTTTAAATGCTTGAAATCTAACTTAAATAAAAAAGGAAATTTGATCGCGTGCCTTGTTTCAGTAAATATAAACTCCTTCCAAGTCTACATTTCCTATCACTGCGGTCATCATAAATGTTTGGCTTAACCATATAAATAATGCCTTTTAAACCACCAGTTTAGAAAATGGCTTTAACATCTAAGGTTTCAGAGAATAATCACCATGAAACGCAAGACAGCAAGATGTATTACGTGAAGCCGCCAGCCACAAGTCGAAGTTGCTGTCTCGTTTTTGTCGTAAAATCCACTTTTATGAAAGTGATCTTTTTCCAGGTGGTACCTCTTCTAGAACCCAAACATCATTGTCTTTTATAATCTACATTTACCCACCTATAGCCTTCTTTCATGCCATTTGTTATCTTTTGGCAACATTGTTATATCTTCATAAGACAACGTTTCTTGGTAAGTAATCATGGCTTCGTACACTTGAACAAATTTCGCTCGTGAATGTCTTTCATTTTCCATTTTCTTAGTATGTGACATATCCACTTCGGTTATGTCTTTATTAATGCTTTCCTCTGTATCTTCAGTTTCAGTATCTCATTACCTTCAGTTTCCGAAAAATGCAGATTCTCGGAAATATACCTTTTATGATCAGTGTTCAAGTTTTCTTAATTAAAATGGAAATTTCAAATAACACGATACGCTTTGTCATTGGATCCATCTAAATATACCCCATGGTAGAATATTTAACGAATACGTTTTTCTTTGACATAATATCTAATTTTCTTCAATGTCATATTGTAAGGTTTTAATTTAAACTAACCAAATTTCTTTTTATTTTAAGTTACCCTTTCCTGTAAACTCTTATTTCAACTTCCCTTCAGAATGAGCGCGCGATTCAGCTTTATGCTAATTTGTGCTGGAGCCAAGTTTTGTATTTAAGGGGGTTAGTGAGAAACTTCTTAAGAGTGTGAGAGAGCTTTTAGTCTCAGACCACGTCCGCTCGGTGGACGTTCACCAGATTAGTTAGTATTTAAATTCTTACACCATAGCGCTATTACTCTAATGCTTATTGAAGTGATTTAAGTGCGTTAGTACTTAGCTAAGGCTTGTTACGCACCATAGATAGGCCAATCTTGCGTTTAAGCTCTGAGATCTGCGACTATTTGAATTTCCACTTAAGCTTTACTTTAAATTGTTTGATTGTTCAGTTAGACCCAAGCGGGGTCATTATTTTTCTGTTATCACTCGCGAGCTGGGAGTTGCTGTAAATAGTGATTTAAATAAAAGGGTCTTTTACACCTTTCTTACGTTGTGGTTCTTCTAGTACTCACAAGAACATAGCTCACTGTTCGAGATCAGGACCTTGATACTGTCACACTTATGTTTGCCAAGAGTATGCCTAGAACACTTAGTCTTGACAATATATGTATCAACACGTAGGACACAACCAAACACGCAAATATGTTTCTTTACCACGGATTGCCAAGGATCTTTAACACGATTAAAGCTCTAGGACTTAAAATTCTGAAAAGTACCATTAAAATATTTTAATGAAGATAAGCTGAGTTTTACACAGCTGATCTCCAAAGATTCTTTGAAAGTTTGATTCAAATATCTACCTACTCGACCTATCTTCATTATGGTCTGTTTAGTCTGTCCCCGAACACCACCGTATAACGAGGAAGTATATGGAGAAACAGAAATGATGTATAATGCCGTGTTTAGAAGATAATTCTACTAGTTCCCTGAACAAATATTCTTTTACACTGACACATCCAATTTTCCTTATGGAAAGATTTGATTTTAGGAAAGTTTTCGTCTCGTCTGCAGTAT